GAGATGGTGTGCAACAAAAGTCGTTGAATATGACTAAGAATAAGATTGCTAAAATGTGTAAGTTTCTGTACCAGGAACACTGAACATATGCAAGGTGAAACAGAAATGTTACCAGGGTCCTAATGCAAGACAAAAATCTTTGCACAGGATGAATTCCCGTTAATGTCAATGGGACGTGACCACATATTAAAATTTCATCAGAAGAACATAAGCAGTTCCATACAGGATTAGACCAATGATTCACTTAGCCCAGGATCCTGTCTCTGGCAGTGGCAAGTAGTAGATGCTTTAGAGAGAGAGAACGTAAATGGGGTATGTCCAGACTGAGGGCGCATGTGGAGTACTGTGTCCAGTTTTGGGCCACCCACTACAGAAGGGATATGGAGACATTGGAGAGAGTATAGTGGAGGGCAAAAATGATTAGAAGGATGGGGCACATGACTTACGAGGAGAGGTTGAAGGACCTCAGCTTATTTAGTCTGAAGAAGATAAGGCTGAGGTGGGATTTAACAGCAGCCTTCAACTACTTCAGTGATGGTTCCAGAGAGGATGGAGCTAAACTGTTCTCAGTGGTGGCAAATGACAGAACAAGGAGCAATGGTCTTAAGTTGCAGCAAGGGAGGTTTAGGTTAGATATTAGAAAAAGCTTTCTCACCACGACTGCAGTAAAACACTGGAACATATTGCTCAGAGAGGTGGTGGAATCTCCATCCTTGTAGTTTTTTAAGGCCCAGCTAGACAAAGCCTTAGCTGGGATGACAGATTTGGATGGTCCTGCTTTGAGCAGGGGGGTTGGACTAGATGACCTCCTGAGATCCCTTCCAACTCCAGTTTTCTATGACTTCTATGTTTCCACGTCCATCCCTGACACGCTCTCCCTGGTATCTGCCATCATTGGTGTAGCAGGCTTACCTTTCAGAGCTTGGGTTGAGTCCCAGGCTTGAGATCCTGCTGTTTTGATTGGTGGAGACCATCCAGAAATAAAGTCACGCTCCTTTCCTGAGGGGAGGGGGAGAAGAGCTCCCCCGGACCTGATTGAAGACTGTAAACTGTCAGGTCTGGAAGACTGCAGGGGTGGAGCCCTGGAGTGTATAAAAGGAGCTGTGTGCCCAGCATGAGGGGCAGATGTAGTGAGGGACTCAAGAAGAGCAGAGCCAAGAAAAGCTGGGGAGCTCTCCCTCAGCAGGCAATAGGCCCAAGGCTCCTGAAACTGCCACTGGAGGAGCAAATGGGAGACCGCTTGAGCTGTTGATGGCACACAGGAGTGGTGCGCGGAAACCCGGCCCTGAGAGCAGTGTGAGACTGCTCAGGCCCATCACGGTGTACAGTTCAGTGCATGGAGCCCAGGCTTTGGGACTCACAAGTGGCAGCTCGAGCCTGCAACCCCGGCAGTGCCAGCGGGCCACTCAGTGCGCAGGGCAATGCATGGGGCAAAGGCCTTGGGGCTGCAGTAAGTCGGTTCAGGCCCCATCTCTCGGCAAGCAACCAGGTCCCATAGTGCGCAGGGCGGTGCACAGGCCTGAGCCTTGGGAGCCAGGGAGCAGCAGAGGCTGCTTGGGTTAGTCACCTGGCATCAGGACAGCCAGCTGGAGCCTGAAGGGCCTGGCCTATGCTAAGAGAGCCCTCAGTGCCAAGCTAGGGCACGGGGAAATGGTAGTGCTGCAGCATGAGGCCCAGCACCCAGGAGTCAGCAGCAGTGGTGCAGCAGCTGAGAGGAGCTGAGCCCTTGGTGCCCAGGGCGGGGCACAGGGTGGGGAGGACCCAGCGGCGCAGGAGAGGCCTGTAGAGGCACTCCAGCAGAGGAGACCCCATCAAACTGCGCCCTGACCACCACCACCTGAGGGAGCGTGAGTCATTGGACCCTTGGGTCCCTCAGGGGAAGACATTTGGGGCGGGCAAACCCAGAAAAGGGGCTGGGTGAGCCACCCCCCTGCCTAGTCAAGGCCCTAAAAGGAGGGGCTCTTGATGCTTCCCGGACACCCCCCAAGTGACCCCATTGGAAGGAGGACTATCTCTTGTCATGGATCAGGGACCATATTAAGGAATAGATGTTATTAAGATTGTTCATGTTTGTGCCTTATATTTTGTAATTGAAATGTTGTATTGCGATGTTGTAAAAAGTGTTATTTAGGGTTTGACCTTGGTTATTGGTTAGTGTTCACTGTGTATGTATATATATATGATATTTAGTTTTATGTTTATGTATATTATAACAATCAATTGTATATAGTTAAGAACTTTGGGTTTGGGCTAACTCTATAGAGGAAAGAGGGATCTGCTTGAATTTCTGGTATCTCTCTCACAGCACCCCCTCCTGCCTACCCATCCCATTCAATTGAGAATAGGGCACTCCCTTGTGTGTACCCAGGTTACATTGGTTTAGAGATGTCAAAGACTATATCCTTGGTTTTTCTATTTAGTCACTCCCAATGGATCTGTTCTCCATGAATTTGTCTAATCTCTTGTTAAATCTGGTTAAATCTGCCTCTGAAACCTCCTGTGGCAACAAATTAGTAGGAGGTTAAGTACTCTACTCAATAGAAATGGATTTAAGCATGGGCTTAAATTAAACACATAGGAGCACAGGACTGGAAGGCTCCTCTTAGGCCATCTCCCCTTAGGCCATTTTTGTGGAGGGTTGTGAATACTAAAGGAGAAAGTTGCTTCTCTGAAGCTTGGAGTAACATGTTTAGCATGGGGTAAGAAAGCAGGCACACATTTCTCCCTAACATTTCCTGCTGGATGCCTTAGGTAGCCATCTACTCAATCTTCTGGCTTTTATGTATCCCATTTTTAAGGGTCTAACTCTCCCCACACATTGGGTCTGTCTACATGTGAAAATAATCCAGGAGCAGTTTTCTCTAAAGTACTCTAAAGTAAGCTCTCCTGGGCACATGTCTACAAGTGCAGGGACATGGGAACAGATTTACTGTTCCTAGCAGCAGCCAGGGGGAGATCTAGATTCCCCCTGGGTTTTAGCCCAGGGACCAGGAGACATCTTTCTCCTGGGGGGGTCTGGGACATTGCTTCCTGCCACTGGAGCCCAGGCAGGGACAATACCCCCTGCCCCAGCAACAGGGAGCCCTCAGCCCCTGCTCCATGATTGTGGAGCTGGGGCTGGGAGAACCTAATCTCCAGCCCAAGCCCCATAATTGCAACACAGTCATGGGGCCCAGACTGGGAGACCGTATCTCCCAGCCCAAACCCTGTGGTTGTGGGGCCCAGGCTGGGCCCCATGACCAGGGGGCTTGGGATGAGAGATATGGATCTTTCGGCCTGGGAGCTGCAACTGTGGAGCAGGGGATGGGAGATAAGGATCGCCTGGCCTTGGCCCTGCGATTGCGGAGTGGCGGCTGGGAGCTTCTTACTTCCAAGCAGGGGGACATTGTCCCTTACTAGGCTCCAGTGGCAGATCCCACCCTGGCAACCAGCAGCTCTTGGGGGCAGGGAGCAATGTCTCAGCTCCCACCAGGAGATAGCTGTCTCTTGGCCCCATGCTCTCTGCCAGTCCCTGGGCTTGTACCCAGGGGAGTCTAGAGCTCCCTGTGGCTGCTGCAGGGGCCAGATGCAGGGCCTCAGGGAATGGAAGCAGTCTGCTGTTAGGAGCAGCAAATCTGCTCCCACGTCCCTGCATGTGTAGACGTGTGCCCGGTACAATTTACTCTATAGTACCTTAAAGTAAACTGCTCCTGGATTATTTGCATATATAGACGTGCCCAGAGTGCCCTTTTTGCCAAGAAAGCTAACAGCATACTGAGCTGTATCAGTTGGAACACTGCCAGCAGATCAAGGGAAATGATTATTCCCCTCTATTCTGCATGGATGAGGCCACATCTAGAGTACTGTGTACAGTTTTGGGGCCCTCACAACAGAAAGGCTGTGGACAAGTTGGAGAGTGTCCAGTGGAGGGCAACAAAAATGGTTAGGGGGATTGGGGCACATGATTTCTGATGCTTATTTAGACTACAAATATGGGTGCTGGTGAGTGTGGACAGCTAGACACAGGAGGATCCAAGCAGCTCATGGTGCATATGTGGCCTATAAAAGCACCCTTATCCATAAGGCCCTTGGCATCCATACATAAAGCCCTATTATCAGCATTGTCCTTAAACATTAGTTACAATATCTACTCCCACATTAGGATGGGCCCAAAAAAAGGACATTCATTTCTCTGTCCCCTTTGTGCTAGGTTTCTTGGGCTCCTTAATTATACTGGCAGGATCCCTGTACCAGCTTTGTCCACCACCCTTTGAATTATGCTTCTCTCCTCATGCTTGAAGGAGGAGATACAGCAGAGATTTGGTCATTGTGATGGCCCTGGCCTTGGCCCAGGCTTTGTCAGGCTAGCTCCAGCCTGTATGCCAGATTCTCTCACAAGGGATAATGGTGATTTGTGTAGAAGCTCATGAAATATCCAGTTTTCTGCAGGTTAAGGAGTCAATCTGCATTTCTGTTCAGCTGCATTCTGCAAATATCTGGTGATGTTAACCTGGGTCTGTGTGTATATCAGGAGGAAGCTGAATAGCACTGCCAAATCCAGAATAGACACGGAATACATCTACACTACTAAACCTTTAGAGCCACCACTAATGTAAAACTGCTATGGACAGTTCAATTTATTCCATTAGCAAAGCCTCAGCTCCTTTAACTCATGTTTCCCTCTTCAGGGGTCGCCTGACTCTGCTTCTGTGGTGGAGATGTGGAGTTTAGCTTCCAGGGCTCATAGCTGAGATCTGAAAGGGCAGAACATTCATTAAAGGTTTCCACCGCCGCAAAGGAGTTTTCTTTGCAACCTAAAATAAAACTCGCTTGTAACGTGTTAGCAGAAGCAACCACAGACTTGGTTTGTGACAGGAAAAAAGCCTGCAGAGGGGGGCTAGCAGGACTGGGGAGTTTTTTTCTGATCTTAAAAAAAAAGTTTCTTTCTAAAATTTTCCACCTATGCTCACCCCCACCATGATGCCCCTCTTACTGAGCACAGGAAGTTTGCTGACCACTTAATGACAGTATATAAGTGTGGGGACAGGGGTTCAGATTATCACTTTCTCCTCTGCCACAGGGTGAAGTATTCGGCAATGAAGCTCTACAACTTGGCTATCCTGGTCCTTTTTTGCCTTGGCATCCTCACCATGCACACAGCGAGAGGTAAGTTTTCATCTCCATAGGAATGTAGGAATTGCCGAACGATACCAAGACTGGGGTTTGTCTAATTCAGTGTCCTTTCTCAGGGAGTGACCAATACTGGTTACTTAAGAGGAATCTGTGAAAAATTACATAATGAAATTCTCTGTTAATTGGGGGTGTTTCTTAACCCCTATCAGTTTGTGGCTGGCTTAGGCCTTGAAGCTGGGAGGACATTTTTTTCCTAGAAAATTTTATTGCTATCTAGTATTATCCTGGATGCTCCCACTCACCATGTCAATGTTTAATCTGCTGTGGCATTGAGTTCCGCAGGTCAGTTGTGCCTTGTATAAACAGCATGTTTTTCACCTAGTTTCAGTGGTATTGCCTTTCAGTATTGGTTGTGCCCTTGTTCAGAAATTAGGAAAAGGGCTTAATAATGCTAACAGCTCCTGTTTTATATTCTCTAAATTACTATATTATATCCTTATTATATACTTCAATATATATTGAATTATTACATACACCATTAGTTTATCACTTCTTATTTTTTTCCTCTCTGACCTGTCTAGTCTTACTCTTTTAATTGCTTTCTGTAAGGAAGGCTTTTCAAGCCTCTAAGAAATTTCTTTTTCCCTGTGTTTTTACTAAATCAGTTTGCAAATGATTGACTGAAAAGGAAAGCTTCCAAGAATAAGTCTCACTATAGATTTACACACTGGCACTGGTGCTTTCAGTTTTGTTCTGTATTCCTTTCTTAATACAGTTTAAGGTCTAATTAAAGATTTTTTTATGATGATAGCTGCATATTGAGCATAGGTTTTATATGAGCCATCCATAATAATGCTTAGACATATTAACTACAAGCAATTTATAGAGCATGTGACATTTGTAAAAGACCACGCTTGTAGAAAAACCACGCACATGCACACAAACACATGCATGTGTGCATGTATACCAACATTCATAGTCAGACAAGCAGAAGCCCAAAAATCACACGTGCAAAGCATTTATACTCAGCCTCTTTGTGTATTATTGTAAAATGACAATAATACACAAAGAGAAGCACAGGATCACAAACACGTGGAGAATCACAACTACATAAAAGCCAAATACAACCCATCCTCCCTTTTCTCCCACCAACAAAATAACATATCTGCAACACAGACCAACTGATGTGATAAGAGCTCCTAGTCCTTAGTATCACAGTGGTCCAGTTGGCCATCCTAAAGTCTGGGATTGGCAAAATCCCTTCTTTCCAGAAACTCTCCCCTGCCCTGTAATGTTCCCATGGGTGAAACACTGTGTAGAAGGGCAGTGCAAAGTAGGGTGGTGTTAGGATACCATGTGGCATTTTTTGTCATCTAAAAGAAGGGGATTGCAGGGTGGATAGTAAACCTGCCATGGGAGACCAAAACAAGGTCTGAGGAAAGATGGAGGGAGGGAGCAGGTGCTTCAAAGGACTTTCTAAGGGCAAGTGAATAGAAAAGGGGAAGAGGAAAGATGTTTCCCAGAGAATATCCCTCCCATTTTAATTACATTGAATTTTAATTTAATTTAAATGGTTTGCAAGTCTTGTGCAACCTATTCTGATCAGCTGCGACTGAAATCGACTGAAATAAAGCTGCTGTTGGGAACCTATTCATCAGGGCTGGCCCATAATATTTTGGGGCCCCCTGATCCATGGAAAAATCCGAATTGAGGTTAATTACAGTATAAACTCACTGAAATAAAATAGTCGGGGACAGGCTGCGTGCATGTGGGCTGTGCTGCAGAGGGCATGGGGTGGTGGCAGCACGTGCTGAGGATGCCTGCGTTCCCTTTCTGGAATTGGGGCGAGAGCAGAGCCAGGAACTCCTCCCCTGCTTGGCTGGGAAGGGGCTCTCTGCCTGCATTGAACCCTTTAAACATGGCACAGGCGGTGGGGAGCGAGCAGAACACAACCCCTTGGCTGCAGGCCCCCTGTGGCTGCAGGTTCTGCAGAATAGGACAGGCCAGCCCTGCCCTGCTGTTGGTGGTTTAACTTTGTGGCAATGAGTTTATGTGTTAGTTTTTTTTACAGAGTGTGAGGACTAGTGTGTCCAACTAAAAAGCCTTTTAAGAAGGAGAATGTAATTGTTTACATGCTGTTGAATTTGCCCAGGATGCCTACTCACAGAGAGAAGCTTGGGTTATTCACGGATCTCATATGATTAGGATTTTTGCTCTATAACTCACAAGGATGATGCATGTATGGCAGGCTTAGCTAATGCAATCCAATACATAAGCATAGAGGTACCCGAGTTGTAATTTAGCAAGCCACTTGCTGTAAAGAATCACTATTCTTTAGTACTACTGGTAATTTACCATCTTTTTTTTTTCATTTTAGGGAGTGTAGGAAGTCAAATTATAAGAAGAAGTTCCTGCATAAACCTATCAACAAAGCAGCTAGACATAAGAGGGCTTGCCAATTATGAAAATCAGAACATACCAGTAAAAGCCGTTATGTAAGTATGTGGTCCAGTCTTCATCTGCTAATTCATCTAGAGAAACATTCTGCCCTCCCCATTAAGAGAAGAAAGAAAGTCAGTAAAACTGACTCAAAGCAAGCATAGGGGCTGTATATCTGAATAAGCATGCTTACTTGAGAGCCTTTCTTCATATCTCATATGAAAGCTTCATTAGGCAGTGTCAAAAAGTCTGGAGTACTGGTGCTGTAAAGCTGCATATGCAAAAATGTATCAAACAGCAAAATGTTTTGTTCTAAAAGTTAGGAAGAAATGTCAGAAAGCAAAACGTGTTTTGAGTGTCATAGACTAGTATAGCCTTGCGGGTTATCAGTCACTGCATTGGGGTGAGGTATGCAAGAAAATTTGTGGAAGGGATAGAAGTAATAAAACTCCTGTAGGAATTAGAGTTGGTCCTTGTGCAATAAATGTGAGGCCATATTTTCAAAGAACCTCTACATGCTGGGTGTTCTTAGCTCTTCCAGAAAGTCTAGAAGTACAGCACATGCATAGATACATATAGAAATACACAGTATTATACACCCTCCCCCCCAATCTATAAGTACAGCTGGTGTTCATTTGCTAAATTGCAGAACCAACTCGTAGCTGGGTTTAAGACATGTTACTGATGTGACCACCCCAAACTTACACCAGTAAAACTTTGTCACATCACATCCTCATCTATTCCACATAGAAACATGTACATGTGGTCTTGTCTTGGAAACAAGAAATTTCATGTCTGTCTGCATTTCCACTTCTTCTCCTTCAGGTTCATCACCAAGGAAGGCATCAAAATCTGTGTGGAGCCCGAACTCAAATGGGTGAAGCAAGCCATAAAATACCTAGATCAAAGACATGTCATCAGAAGAACCACTATCAAGCCCAAGCCCAAGCCCAAACCCAAACCCAAACCCAAGCCATCTAACTAAATGGAGATGCCACTGAAACCATAAGCAACTGCTTGTAACTCCAACTTGGTAACTGATAATAAAGTCTCTGAACTAACACAGGCTGATCAGAACCTTCCTCTATTCATTTTCATTCTGCAGCTGGACTCTTCTACATTGTTCTCAGATTTATTTACTGCAAAATATGTTCATTATTTATGATTGTGTGTGAGCAGTTTTCTCCGAGCAGGGTGGACTATGGACTGCCCTTTAATATGCTGACAGGGTTTCTGTCAAAGACCGATGACAGAAGTCTTTATTTATAAGAGGGAAGGAAAACATGCAGGGTGTTGCCTGTCTATGGAACTCGTTGCTGAAATAGGTTACAGGAGCTGACATTGGGGCCCTATTTGAAAAATGTGCTGCATAATATAGTGATGGAAAAACTACTTAAGCTATAAGTAAGCAAAGTAAGTTTCAGCCCATCAGCTGCTAATTGCAATGTGCAGGATACAATTGTTTGCCTTTCTATTCCTCTTTGTAACATAGTGTGATGATGTAGCTGGGTCTGATTCTCCTCTCACTTTCTAACAGTGCAAATATATTGGGTTGGGTTGATTTCCAATGTGAATTGCACTAAATGTGCACTTATTCAGAGTATTTCTATGTAGATTTACGATGAGGAAGGATCTAGCCTACCAACTTCTGTGAAGTTACTGCTGATTTACACTGGTCTGAGATACATCTGAGATGAGCACTTTGTTTTTATCTTTGCTTTTTTATGCAGCATTAAATTTCAGCAATGACTGTATTTTATTTCAATCCTGTATAGCAAATTCTCAAGCCCAAACTAATGTAGAGGCTGGTGCAATGGAAATAGTTATATTCTCTGTAAATGTTAATTTCATTTTAAAATGGATTAAGTCTAATAATTCATGGACTTTTTGGACATTAATAAAAATCTTGTAAACCTTCAGTCAGATGGTCTGTTTGTTTATTTATGACCTGGTTGGAGATCCTACAAAAGGACGTTGCCATTCTAACACAAATCCATGATCTTAATGTCACACCAGGAAAAACTACCTTTGCAGAAAAATGTGGCAACACCTCCAAATTCTTATAGTCTTAGAAAGTTATGCACACAATCCGTAGAACCCCATGTTATGGAAATAGTATCACATCATGGCTGAAAACCAAGATGGACAGATCCTTCCCTCCTTTTTCTACAGAAAGCCTTCAGCCCTAGTTTCATTCTTCATCATTCTCTGCATCGTCCAAATGAGAGCAAAACATAAATTTTTGATCAGCTCAGACAGCAGATCAGAAAGTCAAGCTGCTGTCCATATATGAAAAAGTGGGTTGACCACTTCTATGCACCATTGCGGGTTAGAGCCAACATTTCTGTTTTGTACCCGTTTAAAACAGCTGCAGCTGTCCTCTGTTCTCCATTAGAGGCACCAATTTTGAGCATGCTAGAAAACTGATGCTACAATAAGCTTGGTAATAAAAGTCTTGTTGGCAGAGTGGAAGGCTGAGGGCAGAAGATTCAGGAAGCCTGGCTGGCTATAGTATGCTTCATTCAATGCCAAAACTGCCAGGCAGTCCTCTCTCTAAGGACCCTTATTCCTCTCCCATTACAGGCACTGGAAAGGCTTCCTGTTCAGCACAAGTGTGATACACAACCTGAAACTAGGTGACCCTCCCAGAAACATCCACAAGGCAAAATGACCTCAGATCTACAGCAAAACCAAATCACTGCTGCTGTGTGGAGTGATACAGGGCTACAACTCACTCAAACTCTGTGTCCTCGTTTGCCCTCCTATAAAATTAAGATAATCCTACATACCTACCTTGACAAGGTCCTTTGAGAGCCTCTAAAGGAAAATGTTGAAGGCCAAAGTGGTTATCTATTATGAACCCCCTGGGTGCACATGGCAACACAGGCAAAAATAACTTGCAACTGGACATGTGGAAAGAGGAGTGAGAACAGGTGAAAGACCTGGTATAAACAGTGATTAAGACTAAGTGAAGTGAGGCAGTCCTGGGAGATTAATTACTGACCACCAGGAGCTGATTTGCACCAGTAACATCACACTAGCATTAATTTCCAAAAAACGTAAATGTAAGTGCCATTAAGGATGAGCAGGGCCTGCCTGCCTGTAAGTGCCATTAAGGATGAGCAAGGAGTCCTGAGTACAAAAGAAGAGGAAGCTTGAGGCTGCAGCAAGGGGAAGAGAAAGCAGCGTGCACGTGGAACCTGGTCAGCCTGCACAGAGGAGCGTGCAGTGGAGCTGGAGATCTCATTGACTTGGTCTGCCAGGACTGTGGGCTGAAGGAGTTGGACTCCCACTTGGAGGCAGCTGCAGACTACTCTTTGAGCACTCTAGGGTCTAAAGGCTTGTTTGGGGACACTTTCAGAGGTATGGGGAGGAAATTAAAGTGCTAAGAATGCTACCACAGCATTGATGTTTCTTTACCTTTTGACTGTTCCCTCCCTTTGGCTTGTTGGCTAAGGACCCTGTGATTTTCTATGTAAAACTGGGAATTCACTTTTGTTTTTCCTGCCAGTTTCTGGGGCAGCAGGATTGGCATAATGGGTATGAAACAGAAAGGGTGCCTCTAACCTGCAGTGCTGCATAGGGATGATCTGACCTGTTTTCTTATCTGGACAACAGGTTCATGTTTAGACTTGCTGTCAGGGATGTTCAAAAATACATGTTGTTTTGTCTCCTGGACTACGTGACAGCAGAAAAGGAGATGCTGGGGCTGAAAGGTTTTTGCAGAGTTAAATAAGATGAAGCTGCCAGGGCCTGGATTTCAGGCTTGATGATGATGTGATATTATCTCCATAATGTGGGGAATCTAAGGATGTAAAATTTTGCATACATAACTATCCTAGGCTGTAAGCATTTGGGAGTTTTTCTATATCCTTCTGGAAAGGAAATATTTCCTGATGTGGCATTAGGACCTTGGACTTGTGTTAGAATGGAGACATTCTCTCCTATGCAGTCCAACATGGTCAAGTATAAGCAAACAAATAGACCATTTGACTGAAGGTTTACAAGAGTTTTATTAATGTACAAAAAGCTTTACATTTATTACATTCAGGCAATTATTATTTAAATATACTTCACTTTTAAACAGAATATAACCAGTTCCAGTGCACAAGGCTCTGAATTAATTTGGTACATAAAAGTGACCTCAAGTACAACCAATGCTCACGTGTTGATGCTTCGCAAGAAAGTAAAAATAAATGTGTGTCTCAGTTCCATCTCAGACTGGTGTAAATGAGCAGTAATTTAAATGACGATGACAGACCTGATCCTTCAACAGTGTAAATCTCTATAAATAACATGGATATCATGATTTATAACAGTGCAAATCAAAGGACAGAAGCCTCCTTCTCATGTAAAGTGAGAAGAGAATGGGAACAAACTAGTTAATCTTGCAACATTATATGGGAGAGTAGAAGGGCTGAAAACTGCACCCCACATACTGCACTTATCAAAGGATGCCTTTGCTTATTTATACTGTAAGTAGCTTTTCATTACTATGATGATATCCAGTATGTTTTTACAAATCCCACAGACTGGCAACATCCGGGGTCTTTTCCTTTCCTCTTATGAATAAATAAATTTGCCAGCAGTCCTTGATGGAAACCTTGTTATGATATTAAGGTAGTTGCCTGGTGCTTGGGAGTGGATTTTGTGGTGGGTCTTCTGGTGACACCTCTTTTATCCAAGTTGCAGGGGTTTAGGTTGTAGCCGTGTTGGTCTAAGGATATAGGCAGACAAGGTTCCTTGGGTGAATTTGATATCTTTTATTAGACCAACCCAAATGGTTGGAGAATAGTTATTAAGCAAGCTTTCGGGTTCAAAAACCCTTCGTCAGGCTCAGGAAGCTGCAGCAGTTGGTGTGTGCTCTTCCTGGATGGAATGAAAACCACGTGAAGAATTGCTGCAGTACAGAAGAAAACCCACAAATCGCACACCGCTGGTTATGACCTATCACCCATCCCTTGAACCTGTACGGAAAATCCTCAAAAAATTGCAACCCATATTAGAAAAAGACGCTATTCTTACAAAGATCTTCCCAGAGCCACCCATCCTAGCCTTCAGACAAGCACTGAACCTCGCCAACCTCATCACCAGAAGCAAACTTCCTCAAGCCCAGAACACACCAAAAGGATCCAGACCGTGCCAGGACAAGAAATGCAAAACCTGCTCCCACATCTCCACCACCCCCACTATTACTACACCCCACAACAGAGCCATCAGCATCCCAGGATCTTACAGCTGCACCTCCAGAAATGTAATATACCTCATCCAATGCACCAAATGCCCCAATGGAAGATATTTAGGAGAGACCAAACAACAACTGCGCACCAGAATGAACGCACACCGGAAATCCATCAAAGACAGAAACACCCAATTACCGGTGGGGGCACATTTCTCACAGGAGGGCCACTCTCTCTCCAATCTCTCAGTCCTGATCCTCAAGGGAAATTTACACAACACATCCCAGAGACGAGCCTACGAGCTCCATTTCATCAACCTGCTGGATACTAGAGATCAGAGATTAAACATAGACATTGGATTTTTGATACATTAATCTGCCTGGCAACTGACTCCCCAGCCCAGCCCAGCCCAGCCCAGCCCAGCCCCTGGCTTCTTTACTTTTCATCCCATCCAGGAAGAGCACACACCGACTGCTGCAGCTTCCTGAGCCTGACGAAGGGTTTTTGAACCCGAAAGCTTGCTTAATAACTATTCTCCAACCATTTGGGTTGGTCTAATAAAAGATATCAAATTCACCCAAGGAACCTGTGTCTGTCTATTTTCCCATGGGCATTCAAGGGATTTTTCAGACATGCTGCTCTGAATGCACCTGCTTTCTTCTGACCTGGGCAGCTAAGCAGAGTCTAGCTATATATGGATGGGAAAGAACCTTAGAAATCCAGGTTTGGCAGAATGGAGCCAAGGATTCATGGGCAAATATATTAGGTTCCAGAAACTGAGTGAGTTTGGCCTTACTGGTGCCGCTGAGCTTGACAGAAGGCAATGAAAAGAAGGATTTGAGGGATTTTAGCTACTGAACTCCCATTAATGCTAGCAGATGAGTGTGGGACATTGTTCACACATACTCCATAGTTTTTTTGTAAGCTGGCTACAAATTTCCTGGGGAACAATAATTGATCAGTTACTGAAGTTCTACAAAAGGCAAAAACTGCTTTTGTTAAAGCATTCTTGAGCTTCATTTTTCATGTGAAAAAGTCGCATTCAACCTGCCACAGAATGTGAAGCACTAAAGCTGTTCTGCTTAGAAGCATTTCTCTCTAAGTGCTTCAGTTTTTTATTTTCTTTCCCTTGATTAAGAAAGGGTGTCATTTGCAGCTGCTGGTTACTGGTACTAATGTGTACAGCAGGGGTATTTATATTTAAGGACTACTCCTTATGGCCAGATCCATACATGCAGGCATATGCGGTTTGTGGCACTGCAAACCTCTTTGCAGTGCTACAAACTGCACATGTTGCATGTTGAACCGTGTGCTGTGCAACTGTAGCACTATGGCAGGGCACTGTGGGTGCCAGCCACTTTAAGGGCCTGAAGCTGGCAGCAGACGGCAGGTGCCTGATGAGGGCAGCCATTTTGAACCGAGAGCTGCCCATATAAACTGGGCAGTTCTGTTGCTGGAGGTCAGGCAACAGCACTGCTTAGCTAGAGGGCTGCAGGTATTGTCTGGAGGTAAGGGAGGAGCTGTAGGGGATGACAAGGAGGCTCCTGGTCCTGGGTGTGATCTAAAACTGTAACTTGCTGGGAGTGGGTGGGGTGGTGGGACTCTCAGTGGTGCAGGATCCCCCAGGAAATGCCGGGCCAGGTACTGTTGGCTACAAATGTCCAACTTGGGATCCTTAAAATTCTAGTCAATTAGGCAGATTGAAGCACTGTAATCATAAACCTTGGGG